CAAAAATTGAAACTGGTTTTAATGTGTTCCATAGAAACGAGAGCACCACTATCCAAATTATACTTGCAGTATATTGTGGTAATCAATCAAACTGGAAGTTACCTTGAATAATAAAAAAGAACTGGGGAATTTTGAAAGAAAGTAAGCTAGATATAAGATAGATTGTGTAAATTATGAAAGTAAAAAAAACGAAATGTTCAACTAACCAGTTACGGTTTGGTTAATGAGTCACAGTTAACCAGTTATAAATTTTACTAATTGTGCAGGCCCCACTAGTTAATCTTGGAATATAAGGTAAGGAAAAATAAAGCTTATTTTTTTTATTTTCTCATAAGAAGATTTTAATGTAGTTTTGTGAACAGATATTAAACATTCACTAAACTTATTAAAAGTTCTATAAGCAATATTTGAGTACAAATGTCAACAGTTGTGTCCTTTAATACTTGTTCAGGTGATATCTAGAGGTTATGGTAAAGAGAATGACCAGTCACTTGGTTAGTGCAAGTCACCCTGAGTAAATATGAGGTTTTTGATATTCTAAGGAACATGGCATTCGATCAGTCTGGGCTGAAACATCATTTAGTTAGTCTAATCTGCAACTTGTTCTTCACTACCCAGTTTTGTGATTCAGTAAAGGTAATCATTATGTATAAGTAACAGCAAGTATACACACACACACACTGTTTGTGTTTAGTGTTCTAATAATGATTGTTCATTTTATATTACACTTGATATCTGGTATCATTATTTCATTTTAACCTGAGTCAGTTAGTGAGAGGTTTAATGTTACTAAGAAATCAACATCTTGAGTAAATCTCCTGTTATCTAGCCAACCTACAAGATTAAAGTTAGCTCAGTTTTACCTGGCTATATTACAAAACTATCGGTAAAATCCACACATGCTGTACAAGTTAGAATATCAGTAGATTCTTTATATAGAATCCTCATGTATAATACACCTTTATTTACAACTGTTATGAGGGTTTTGAAGTATTGGTCAATATTAATGACTGGTTTGTTACCAATATGTAAACCTGTCAATATTTTAATTCTGTTTCATAAAATTTTACTGAATATTAAACATTGAACAATTATTTTTATACTGGGGTATGGAGTGTACATGAACATGCATATTTAAAAAAAGGAGAACACAGATCATAAACTGTGAGTTCCATATCAATGCTTTTGTGTGTAGGTATGTATGTCTATATATATATATAATAAAATTTATGAGTTAATGGTTACCTAATTAAAAATGCATCAAATCACCTGTAAGGTCAAATTTCTTCTTCCATAATGCTTCAAAAATCTCTGTTCTTGTCACTCCCTCCAAAAAGGTTTCAAGTTTCGCTACAATCTGTACATCTTTTGGTGTTACTCTCCCAGTCTCTTCTGACAAACATACAGTGTCTAACAGGATTGCTCCTATTTAACACAAGGGAATCTGATAATTGTTTTCAGTAGCATTGTGTTTAACTGAAAAAAAAAATCTGATCTTATTTCACTTACACAGTAGAGAAATAAATTTGCACCACCCATCACTTCAAAATTAAATCAATTTTAAGTTTTTCTGGTCATGGAGGCATAAATAGTTTCAGACAAATTATTAACATCACTAATCCAAACTCGTTTATTCTAACAATACTTACTTTTATCAGTGACTTATCAAAAGTAATATTGTATATAAATGTTATATTTTACCCTGATTGAATAACTTACTTACCATATAAAAGCATGGCAATTTGTGGATCTAGATCAGGACTAGTGTTTAACAAGTTTTCTGCCACAAGAGTGCAACAGGAACCAACCATTCCAATTGTTGTATCACATCTGAAGTGATAAAACTAGTTTTAAATTTTGACTTGTCAAGTACATATGTACGTGTAATATTAAAACAAAACTATGTAGAAGTTCGTACACAAAATCCACCTTCTAAATATAAACAAGGATTAAATTAGAAAAAGAAAACCTTTTTAATTCCACTCCTTTCAGAAATGTTCTATTGAGAGAGAGAAAACATAATCTCTTAACAGGCAAAAAAAAAACCCTACAACACTGAAAAACTTAGGCAATTATGAGTGTCTTATTTTGACCTTTGTAACATAAACAATTTGCCTTAATCCCAACTGGCCATAACAGACTATAATCAGGCCAAATGTACAGAACTATTTCAGGTAAGTGGACTTAATACAGTTGAAAACAAAATAAATACTTTTATAATTCTATATCAAACTTGAAGTTAACTGTTAGAAGATTGTGCATTTATGTTCCAAGAATGCAGACTTTCCAGTTAGAAAAAATTTTTCAGAATACATTCAGGACTATCGAAGTGAAAATTTAGGAATATTTAGAGATTATTCCTAAAAACTTATTGGGGAAAATTAGGACTAACATTCAATTCAATATTGTGATGAAAAATAATTTCCTGGCTAGTAATAAACAAGACTTAAGATGCATTTAGCACATCTAGATCATAAAACTTCCTAGTTAGATAAAGCCAGATTAATGTCTCCTTGAAGATGCTGATGTCTTAACCTTACACTGATGTTTTCTGAAATTTTACTATAAAAAAACAAAACTAAATGATTTCCTGTTTAAACCACATCCATCAAATCACCAGAGCCAAAGCTACATAATTATGAACATCCCAATTTGAACAGAAACAGAACAATTTTGTATGTTTTTAGAACATTTTTGGGCAATTCGTAAAAGTTAAGGAATTTTTGTAGAGAGGATTTACAAATTAGGAATTTTATGGCCAATGGAGACACTGTTATCCTAGTGTTTACTAAGGACATCATAAATTACACCACTCTGACCTAAAAATAGGACTTTATCCCTGGACCATAGCATGACACTTTTTAAAATATTTTTAGTATAAAAAATATCAATACTTCCAAAATTAAGCTCCTTCTCAATGATTCACTAATTCAAGGCAGAATACCCAATAGAGCCCTGCTTCTGAAGTTTTATTTTATTAATTAAATTTTTGGAAGGTCTTTTGCTGTGATTAAAGAATTAACAATACTCCAAAAATACAAAAAAAAGATAAGTGATATTGATTATCTTGTATTGTTTCTGCCTTATATATATATATAAAAATTTAACAGTATGCATGCTACAAAGCAATATTGTGTTTTGTGTTCATAATAATTGTGCTACAAATGCCCATTATATAATTCACTTATAAACTCTCCAATATAATGTTTATGTTACCCACCCAGGAAAAAAATATTACAGCCTCTATTTGTTTTAAATATGTTTTAAAACACCTCTGGTGTTTAACTATTATTTTAATGCAGTTTCATTTCTAAATCTATAATGGACAATCTTTCAAAGGTTTTTTTAATGTTTAATTAGCAACTAAAAATGTTTTTCAAATCACTATATAAAGGGCTTCTCAAATGGATCTGATAAAAGCCTTTCAAGTTTTACCAATTCCACTGTTAAAACAGAAATGTTTTTGTTTTTAAAAAAATTTCATTTTGACACCACACCTGTTTCCTCTGTCCGTGGCCTGAAGTGTGTGATGATCAATGACCTGTACAACAGAGTTTTCTAAGAACTGCTGGTCTGCACTTAAAATATTATGATCCACCAGTGTCAAAAACAATTTTCCTTCATTTCCAAGTTTCTATAAAGACAAAAGTTATCAATGCTTATATACAGTATCTGCATAGAGGGCGTGTGAGGGCCGGCATAAAGTTTTGCAAATTAGACATTGCTGAGGGCAGTCAAGTGGGGTATATGAAGACTGGAGCAAGTGAACACAACGTTAGATGGCAAAGATGAAGATCGAGAAATAGCTATTAGTGTCAGCGGAGGTAAGTATGTTTGGAAATACATTTTCAGTTTAGGAAAATCTATGCAGACAATAAAATCACTTTTTTTGCTACTTACCACATTCCGATCACTAACATCAGCTTGGAAGGAATGGAGGGAAGAGTGTCAGCGGAGGTAAGTGTGTTTGGAAATACATTTTCAGTTTAGGAAAATGATAACTTCCAAAACATACATACCTCCGCTGACACTAATAGCTAGAATCCCACATTGAGAAGGCGGAAGACCGGTGAGGACAGATCATACAGAAAGCGCCTGCAGAGAACAAATATGTACCACGATAAGTGGTATTAAAGTGGGGACCATTGCACTACATCCAGAACAGATATTCTCTTCTTTGTGATAGGATCCCTACCAGTAACCACAGAATGATGCATTTTGAACCACCGGATTTACGAAAGAAAGAAAGCAACATCAAAGTGGACAATCCTTCTGATCAACCTGAAGAAGTCCAAAAGGCAACATCCCAGGTCTGGATTGACAGTATCATATGCCATACTCCACCAAAGTCCACAACTCATCCAGTCTGGATTTACAAACAGTTGTCTTTACTCCCCCACCAAGTTGGCAAGGAGAATTCCACTTACCCATGAAATTATGGAGAGGATGTGGAATGCTGTCCCATCAATGATCAAAGATGGGACTTCATCACATTTGAATATAAGAGGAGATAGTGGGCTCCCCTGCATGAACAACATAAGACCTGACGGTGTTCCTAAGATGGTTCAAGCACCCCCCACTGGATAGCTAAGTATCAAATCTGGACTGATTTTACGAGTAGACTCCTGCATAGATTGGTCCTGCTCCTACCAACATCTGGGGAAAACTTCCAGGGACCCAGGTAGGAGAGTCCCCAACTTCGCCCTCTTCTCCAAGAGTGGAGAAAACTCAACACACTGAAGGAAAATCCTCTGTCCACCACCCCAGCAACTGGGAATTGGGTGTGGTAAGTACTCTCGAACTCCACTAGTAGAAGTAAGGGGGGAACATAAGCATTGGGGAGTCCTGAGGAACAGCACCTCCTGGGCAGATACTCCCAGGAAGGACTCCCCAAAGGCTGAGTAGCCTCCGTGCTAGAAACTGTTACATGGGAATGAATTTTTTTTGCAGGAAAAAATGAAAAACAGGTTCAATGAAATATATCTCTGGATAACAAAGCAAAGAATTCTCGATTATTAGAAAGCAAAAACTAAGAAAATATAAATCACAAAACATTAGTCTGAATGATCACACTTTATCGAGAAAAGTGATTTTATTGTTTGCATACAATGCTTATATACAATACCTGCATAGAGGGAGTGTGAGAGCCTGCTTGAAGTTTCACAAATTAGATATTGCCGAGGGCAGTCAAGTGGGGTATATAAAGATTGCAGCAAGCGAACACAACGTTAGATGGCAAAGATGAAGATTGAGAAATAGCTATTAATGTCAGCAGAAGTATGCATGTTCTGGAAATCATATATATATATATATACACACACACACACACACACATATATATATATATGATCACAGGTAAATAGACACTTAATTTTCCGTC